TAACATCTGGTTGTGTCTTTAGTGGTGATGCTGTTTGATCACCAAGTTAAAGTGGGATCTGCCAGATTTCTTCTTAGCAAAAGTATCTTTACCCTTTTGTGCTTGTTAAGTAATAACTAGGATGATATTTGAGATTCTACGACTATCATTCTCCCTGATAGCATTTCACTCAACAGTTTCGGTATCCATTGATACCCCTCGCCTGAATCTATCACCACGTTCGGGGTTACAAAATGGTGCTTTTCAAATACTATTCCTCCTTCGTATGTTAGGTGGCATTCTCCTATAATGTAATATTCTCTCTCTTCGGGTCTATCCCTCTCTCTCCCTCTTTCCTTCTCTCCCCACTCTCCCTCCCAGGAGGGAGGATTGTTTTAAGGATTGTTTTAAGTTAATGTGTTTTAACCCATTACTCTGTCATCATTCTTTCTGATACTCAGATTGTCCCAAATTTGGCTACTGACAGCTCCTTCAAGCCAGCTTCTGTGTCCTTTTGACACAATCCTAATAGCCTCTGAGCACCTCCTTGTTTTCCGACACAACAGGCGTGCCAAGGTAGCCTTGTACTGGCCCCAGACCCCGAATGAGCCATTTCTCCAAGGAGCCCTGGCATTTGGAAATCAGGCTCTGAGATCTAGGTGTGCTCCTCGCTAGTAAAGTATCATTGCTTTGCCTGGACAGAACAAAGGTGTTTTAAGTATCTTACATCTGAGTTCATTTTGACATCTTGAATTCAAACCCAACGAGACAGGATTCTTCATCTCCCTCAACACGATGTTAGTATCTCCCTTCCCCGCAACGAAAACCCCAATTCCCAGTACTTCTCATACACCTACCCATTTGCTCTATCCACAGTACACACAAAACCATTTCAGACAACACAGCAATACCACTACCAACACCACTGCCAACAACAATCACGTCCAAGATTCCTTTGGGGTTCTTGCTATCCTCCGAACACAGTCCTGCTAGGTACTAGATCTCTTCCCTGAGATAACCAGACCACGGCTGTACTTGGAGATACAAAGATACTTTCTGTGTACTTCACATTTCATCATGGAGTATATAAAAGAGATGCCCTCAAGGGTCGAGATTTTAATAAAATAATTTTTACTGCTACAGTAAGACATACTATGTGCAACACATTGTCTTTTAAAATTGGTGTACGGAGGTGAAGAATGAAATGAAGACTAGTACAGTTTGATGCCACTGCCTTGATTCATGCTGAGGACAAGCAGTTTTCTCTGCCTTTGCTTTTGCACATCAGTGCAAATATCAACATAGCAAAAAAACGCAAATAATGTCTTAACATTTTTTCCGGCCCCTCCTCCAATAATGTCTTAATATTATTATGACAATAACTTTGTCCTCATGGAACCCTGAAAGGGTTTCAGGGTTCCCCAGACCCCACTTTAAATAATGGCTACACCAGTACACACAGAGTTGTGTATTCAGAAGTTACTTAAATTCTTTGGATTCTTTTTTTCTGTGCATTGAATTAATTTTACAGTCAGGTTCATCTGAGAGATCACTAATCCCTAATCTACTCATTTTTAGCACGGTTTTAATGCTTCTTGTTTAAAAATGATTAGAAAGCTAGTGGTTCAACCAAAGGAAGTTTAACATTTGGTTTCTAGAGTACACAAATCCAGACACTGAATACAAGATTAATGATGTCAGAGAGTTAATTACAAACCATCTAATGGAATCACTTCAAGAGACAAACAGGCAGACACTTACAGAATTAGAGCTCCACTAACAATAGAAAAAATGCTGTAACATTTATGCTAAGAAGAAGCTCCTAAACAAAGCCTAAATCTGAGATGGTTCTTGGGAGAAAAATTTACCTCTTAAAGAAGGAAGAGTTTTAATTTAACGGTATTTGGCATGCTTGTCTTTTCAAAGACAACTTTCACTGTTGTTTAGCCAACAGAAACAACACACCAAGAAGATACTCTTACTGGAGAAACATAGGTGACATTTATAAAAGTCTAAGTACATTAGACTTTATATAACAATCATCGAGTTCAGTTCCCTGAAGTGGCGCTTTTTGACTTACCACCATTCTATGAACCCAAAAACCCCACTGGCCCAGAAGCTTGTTTTAACATAAAGAATTAAAGAGGAAGAAGCACCCAACGTAATGATCTACTGGAAGCACATATAAGGAATGGAGAGGCTGTTGATATAAATCAATTGCTTCCACGGTCAACTGCATTAGCCCTGGGGCCACTGCAGTGAGCCTGTGTCTGCCTAATTCCTTCTCCTTACTTCTGTATCTGCTCCAGAGGTGCCAGCAGGGAGAGGCTGTAATTA